GAATAAGTATGGTGAAAGATACAACTCTGGCGCACAGCTGTCCTGACTTTAAACCCCACAGTATCCCCTTGTTCTATTTGAAAGACTGCCTCTTGTTCTATGTACAGGTTCCTCACGAGCACAATTAAGTGCTCTGGGATTCCCATTCTTCGCAATGTTATCCATACTTTGTTATGATCCACACAGTCGAAGGCCTGTGGTAAATATCTTTAATAAAACACAGGTAAATATCTTTCTGGTACTCTCTGCTTTCAGCCAAGATCCGTAGGATATCAGCAGTGATGTTCCTTGTTCCACCTTCTCTCCTGAATTCGGCTTGAATTTCTGGCAGTTCCCTGTCGATGTACTGCTGCAAACATTTTTGAATTATGTTCAGCAAAATTTGACTTGCATGTGATATTAATGATATTTTTCAATAATTTCTGCATTCTGTTGGATCACCTTTCTTTGGAATGAACACAAATATAGATCTCTTCCAGTCGGTCGGTCAGGTAGATGTCTTCCAAATTTCTTGGCATAGATGAGTGAGAGCTTCCAGCATTGCATTCATTTATTGAAACATCTCAATAGGTATTTGGTCAATTCCTGGAGCCTCCTGTTTTTTGCCAATACTTTTAGTGCAACTTCCTTCAGTACCGTAGGTTATTGATCCTATGCTACCTCCTGAAATGGTTGAACGTTGACCAATTCGTTTGGTACAGTGACTGTGTGTTCCTTCCATCTTCTTTTGATGTTTCCTGTGTGGTTCAATATTTTGCCCGTAGAATCCTTCAATATTGCAACTCCAGGCTTGAATTTTTTTCTTCAGCTCTCTCAGCATGAGAAATGCCGAGCATGTTCTTCCCTTTTGGTTTCCTAACCCCAGGTCTTTGTGCATTTCATTATAATACTTTATTTTGTCTTCTCAAGCCACCGTTTGAAATGTTCTGTTCAGCTCTTTTACTTCATCCTCACAACTGGACGAATAAGCAACATCATAATAAATGGGAAAAAAATTGAAGTTATCAAGGATTTCATTTTACTTGGATCCACAATCAACACCCATGGAAGTAGTGGTCAAGAAATCAAATGATGCATTGCATGGGGCGAAGCTACTGCAAAAGATCTCTTTAAAGTGTTAAAAAGCAAAGATGTCACTTTGAGGACTAAGGTGCACCTGACCCAAGCCATGGTATTTTCAATTGCCGCATATGTATGCAAAAGATGGACAATGAATACAGAAGACAAAAGAAGAATTGATATATTTGGATAATGGTGTTGGTGAAGAATGTTGAATATACCATGGACAGCCAGAAGAACAAATCTGTCTTGAAAGAAGTACAGCCAGAATGTTCCTTAGAAGCAAAGATGATGAGACTTTGTCTTGTGTACTTTGGACATGTAAACAGGAGGGAACAGTCCCTGGAGAAGGACATCATGTTTGGTAAAGTAGAGGGTCAGTGAAAAAAAAGGAAGATTCTCAACAAAATGGATTGACACAGTGGCTGCAACAATGGGCTCAAACGTCGCAATGATTGTGAGAATGGCACAGGACCGGGCAATGTTTCCTTCTGTGGTACGCAGGGTTGCTATGAGTCAGACCTGACTCAACGGTACCTAACAACAAACTTAACCTCTAAGCTCGTACTGCCTTTAAGGAGATCCTCCCGATGTTTAGTAAGCTCTAAAGCTTTGTCATAAATCAAGTTCATCCATAACTCCCCTCCCAATAAGTAGTTCTCTTCAGTGCTTAGTTTTAGAGAATTTCCTTTTGGTTTCCCCTGCTTGATCACCAACACTCCAGACTCCTCAAACCTGTGATCAGATAGACAACAGTTTCCTTGTGCCTGCCTTCACTGGAACATTGCACCATCCCACACCAGACTTTATACAAAGTCATCCCAGATTGCAATGACAGCTCCTCTACTTTCAATTTTTTCTCTTTTGTGTGTGTGTGGGGGGGTGGTGTTGATTTTTTTAATATTGCCATTGACCAATTCTACCCCTCCATGGAAGACTTCTATTTTCAATATAAGTCAAAGCCTAAATGGCCAGCTTCTGTCTGGAGGTGAGATGAGAAGGCAGACAGGGTCAGGAGCTGGTTGAATGGACATAGGAAATCAGAGGTGGAAGGGAGGAGTGTGCTGTCACAGTACAGGAAGAGCAATCCGGGTCACATAACAATGTATGTATAAATTTTTGTATGAGAGACTAACTTGAATTGTAAACTTTCACTTAAAGTACAACAATAAAAAAAGAAAAAAAATATATATATATAAGTCAAAGCCAACTGACATAGGTTAG